ACAGATGCCTAGGACAGAGAGTCTACGGGCTGTCGGAAGCTGTCGGTGAGTGTGTGTAGATGTGTGAGTGCGGTGTGTAGGGTTTGTGTGTGTGTGTGTGTTTATGAGCATGCATGCGTGTGTGCGTATGTGTGTCTGTCTGTGTATGTGAACAGTAATAGCTCTGAGGGTGCTGAGACCCCCAGCTCGCTTCACTAACTGCTAACTCTGCTTGACAGCTAATAACCCTTCACCACGGTTACGGCTGCTGCGGTTACGTCTGAGTGACAGGAGGAGAGGAGAGTTTAACTGCCACCCAGGACACAATAGTGTCAAGTCTGTCATCTCTTAGAACAGACAAGAGTGTACTGGCCACACACACTCTATTGGTCCAATGTAGCTGATTCATTAGATAACCAACGTTACCTTACTTTGAATAGGTTTATTTTGAAGGGGACAAGGCACATAGATTAATATTTCTGTAAATATAAGTCCCTACAGCAGCTAGCTACCTTCAACTAATATGTGTGTTTATGCCAATCAAGCGTTGGTCGATTTGACAACATTTCAACACTGTTGCATGATGGGAGAGAAATGGATATGTCACCATGACAACACTTCCTAGTTGTCACAGAACTGCCTGCTGGGACAGTGAACCCAACACCCTCACTCTCTCTTTCTAATTAACATGTTTTTAATTGATTTGACGCCATAACAAGAATGTTAACTGGGTTATGGCCTTAACGAGGTGTTAGTGGGGTGAGAGGAGGAAGGGTCTGGTCTGGTCTAGTCTGGAGAGATCTGGTCTGGTCTGGTCTGGTCTGGACAGGACAGGTCTGCTCTGGACAGGTCTGGTCTGGACAGGTCTGGTCTGGTCTGAACAGGTCTGGTCTGGTCTGGTCTGGTCTGGACAGGTCTGGTCTGGTCTGGACAGGTCTGGTCTGGTCTGGTCTGGTCTGGACAGGTCTGGTCTGGTCTGGACAGGTCTGGTCTGGAGAGGTCTGGTCTGGACAGATCTGGTCTGGTCTGGGCAGGTCTGGTCTGGTCTGGACAGATCTGGTCTGGTCTGGACAGGTCTGGACAGGTCTGGTCTGGTCTGGACAGGTCTGGTCTGGTCTGGACAGGTCTGGTCTGGACAGGTCTGGTCTGGTCTGGTCTGGACAGGTCTGGTCTGGTCTGGACAGGTCTGGTCTGGTCTGGACAGGTCTGGTCTGGTCTGGAGAGTTCTGGTCTGGACAGATCTGGTCTGGTCTGGGCAGGTCTGGTCTGGTCTGGACAGATCTGGTCTGGTCTGGACAGGTCTGGTCTGGTCTGGACAGGTCTGGACAGGTATGGACAGGTCTGGTCTGGTCTGGACAGGTCTGGTCTGGTCTGGACAGGTCTGGTCTATCTGTCTGTCTGTCTGTCTGTCTGTCTGTCTATCTGCCTGTCTGTCTGTCTGTCTGTCTGTCTGTCTGTCTGTCTGTCTGTCTGTCTGTCTGTCTATCTGGGGTTGTCTGTACAGAGCGTTGAAGAGTTGCTTGTCTCCATACTGCTTTTGTTATTAAGTATTTTTCTCCCTCCCACTTCTGCTATTCGGGCCTCAACACCCCCTAATCTGTCTCTCTCTCTCTATATCTTCTCTCTCGATATACTAATCTCTCTATCTCTCTCTCTCTGCTCATTATCTCTCTCTCGTTCCCTCCCAATCCAAAGTGTCGGTGGGGTATGAGTATGAGTCGTGTGCCCAGTCTGATCCTATGGGAGAAGAGGACAGCAGTACTACAGGGCTTTGAACTGGACCCTTCTAATCTGGGAGGCTGGTCTCTGGATAAACACCATATACTCAACACACGCAGCAGTACGTTTAAATATACTGTAAATGTACATACACACACACCATCTTCTCAACACACACACACACACACACACCATCATCTCAACACACACACAAACACACCATCATCTCAACACACACACACACACAAACACACACCATCTTCTCAACACACACACAAACACACACCATCTTCTCAACAACACACATACATTTAATTTGGCTGAATAAAATAAAATGAATGAATTCATTGATCCCTCCCTCCCTCCCTCCCTCCTGTCTAGGTATCCTCCATAAAGGTAGTGGTGAGAACGTGTTTGTGTCAGAGCAGCCCCCTGTGATCAGCAGTGTAATGGGGAACGGCCGTCGACGCTCTATCTCCTGCCCCAGCTGTAACGGCCTCGCCGACAGCAACAAGCTACTGGCGCCCGTAGCCCTGGCAACAGGCATCGACGGGAGCCTCTACGTGGGAGACCTGAACTTCGTACGCAGGGTCTACCCCTCGCTCAACACCACAGGCATACTGGAACTGAGGTAGAGATGGAGGGATGAGGGGAGGAGAAGAGGAGGAGGAGTGAAGGAGAAAAGGAGGGGGGAGAGGAGAGGAGTAGTGTGTGGGATGTAAAACATGTTGGATGAGATCCAGTGAGGTTGTAATGAAAGCAGGGAGGGCTCATGGGACAGAGTGATTGAAGTAGAATTATACACTGTACTAGATCTTATATCTCCTGGGTGTTTTTATCCATATTTAACTATGCTGTTCTCTCCACTGCTCCACAGCTAACTCTCTCTCTCTGTCTGTCGTTCTGTTGTCCCCTCAGAAACACTACAGCTAGCTCTCTCTCTGTCTGTCATTCTGTTGTCCCCTCAGAAACACTACAGCTAGCTCTCTCTCTGTCTGTCGTTCTGTTGTCCCCTCAGACACACTACAGCTAGCTCTCTCTCGCTCTGTCATTCTGTTGTCCCCTCAGAAACACTACAGCTAGCTCTCTCTCGCACTGTCGTTCTGTTGTCCCCTCAGAAACACTACAGCTAGCTCTCTCTCGCTCT